GTGTGTGTGTGTGTGTATGTATCTGTGTGTTTGCCAGACTTTGAGTACACAGACACTACCTCGCGTTTTGCACTTTTGCGGAGATTGTTTGATGAAGTAGCATATTATCCACTCTGAAAGTGCTGATGCACACACACACACACGCGTTCACGTCCATGTCTCCACCTCCCTTTTAGTTCTTGTCAGCCATTATTTTTGTCTTTAACAGCAATATGAACTTGTCTCTTTCTACCTCTCCACCTACCATTGTGTCTTTGCCATTGATTTGGAGAATGTGTCGAGATCCAAGCTATTGTTCGGCATTGAATAAGACAGTCCCTGCATGGCACTGTTCCATTGGGAATGCATCTGTCACAGACAATGTCTCTGTCTCTCCTGCCATTGTACCATAGAAAATGTGTCATTGACAGAGAATGTGTTCCTATATATTCCAACTGCCTCATAGATGAATGTCAGTGTGCCAGGTGTAATCCTCTTCGGTCCTTGCTTTAAAACGTGTGTTTCCTTTTGTTAGCATCTTCTTTAACCCCCCACAGCAGGTATGGATGCCAGCCAGAGGACGTCATACCAGTCTGTTCTAATCACCTCACAGGGGTTGAGATCATTGAACATTTTGGGAAGACAATGAGCTACTTTTTGTGTCTGGTGTCGGAATGACATCAGCCTCAATTGAAATAAGACTTTCATCCATTTTGTGTATTTATTTGGAGATGAGCTTTTCTCTGGGAATACCGTCCAACGACAGCAGCCATAAAACGATTTTATAGTCAACTAAACTAAAGCCTGTGTCTCATTTTACATCCAGTGACTTTACCATAAAACCCTGTGCTGAAATGTCCCTGCATGTTGTAGATAATAGCATCTGTGTCTGTATGTGTTATCCCATCCCCTGTCTGTCTGTAGAGAATGTGTCAGTCACTACCATGGTCCCTCCCACTCCTTCCACCCCTTCCACCCCAACCCTCCTAACACCCATCTCCGGCCAGGATCCGAAAGGTAACACACACACCTCTTTGTTCTGCTTATGCTGTCCTCCATTGGAGAGTCTCAATGGATAGGCACAACCGGCGAGGAGCGGATCCTATGTGGTTAGGCTTGCTTTTTTTCCTTAAAATAAATAAATAAATAAACTAATTAAAGTGTCATACACAATTATAGGGGAGTGTTTCTTTTAGTACCAAAATGCAGCAATTAAATTCATTACAAATAAATGTATTTTTAATTTAACCATATTGTTAAGTGTTCTGTTCATTTCTGGAAATACACAAACACAAGTTGTTCATTAATTAACTGAAAACACGGTGCACTTTATGAACGAGTAAATTTAATAACCGAAGATTGTGTGTCGAGATGGTCCCTTTTTTTTTTTTTTTTTTAAAGTAAATAAAAAGTTTAATTTGATTAGTTTTGCATAAATTTCTTCAAATTTCTGAGCAGCTTTTAGGTTTTATTTCATTGCCTATTTCCAAGTGATTTTATTTGTTCAAAAAAAGGCAAATCGAATTAGTCTTTTTGTGGTAAAAGAAAGGAAAAACATTACTTTAATATTGCAATTATTAATTATGGAGACTCACAGCACTAAGTTTAACACAGAGAGCTTTAACCAATCAAAATCTACAATGCACTTAAAACAATAGATGCCAAAGCGTAGCCCTATTGCAGTCTCTGCTTCCTTCCCTCATCATTGACCGAATGCTTGCAGGTCATAGCCTCCCTACCCTCTGTCTCAGTCCTTTCCTGCTCTCCTTTGGTGTCTTCCACTCCCCTGCTCATTCAATGGCTCTCAGATGCCCCCTTCTCTCTCACAACACACACATGCACACACACACACACACACCCTTTTTCTGCTGCAACCTTCCTTTGCCCTGCATCTACATGAGCATATGTGCCTGCAGACGCTTGGGTATGCACCATGCGCAACCACCTACTCTCTTTTTTTTTCTTATCACTGGCTGTTTGATGCTCCCTCCACACACATTGCCCAGTCAGCATTTGTGTGTGTGTGTGTGTGTGTGTGTGTGTGTGTGTGGTCTGGGCTGGGTCTCTTGGTGCTTGGTGGGTAATGTTAATGAATCTGCGTTAAGAGTTTAAGGAACTGGCAGTGCACCCAGCCTTTAGCTGACTGACATTGGCCTCTGGAGGGATAAGAAGCTGCTACACAAACATATTTATCTGCACGCACACACAACACACACACACTTACAAAAACAGAGAGAGAGAGAGAGAGAGAAAGATCAGGGATCCAGGTGGTTGTCTAATCATATGCTCCCAGAAGAGTGTTACACAGCAGGTATAAGAAAGGTTGCTTAGCACTACTCTGCTACCCCGAATATATTTGTGTGTGTGTGTGTGCATGTGTGTGCGCGCGTGCAACGACATTTTGTCTTTCACTACTTTCTCTCTCTTTTCATCTACACAACCTATTTATCTCATATATACACTCGCACAAACACATGCTCGCCCTTATCTCTTCTTTCTTTCCACACCTTCTGCTGCTCTACGTCTCCTCTCTGTTACTTAAAAGCAGAGATGAAGCAAAGGGACTGTGAGCATTTTCCTTGTTCTTCTGTTACCTTTGCCAATCTGCAGTAGGTAGAGGTTGTTCACCTGCTGGGCATGTGTGGAGATGTCATAAAGGGTCTGAAGAAAAACTGCAGCTTAAACAGTTTGGCGAATGTTTCGTCGGTGCCGATGCGTCGTCTGAAGGGTTTCTCGGAGGAACATCACACTTTTTTAATGCTGTCAGTCATTTCCTGTGGAGCTTTGGGCTGCAGAGGGTTAAGAGCAGGTTGGCATGAGGTAATTGCTTTTTTTTTTTTTTTCTTTATCTTCTGTCAGATATTGCTCGGGACAAACTCCTTGATCTTATCGCAATTGAATCCTGCGTGTTTTGTGTCTGCAGATGCACCAATATTCATTTCAATCTTACGTACTGTACACATGTTTGATCATGCAAATATCAAGGAATGTGACACGGTTTGTCACAGGGAGACACTTGTCCAGCAAATACAAGAATGCACTGTCTGTTCTTCAGCTGTCAATCCCTTCTTCTTCTTCCTCTTCTTCTTCACTTTCCCTCCTGATCGCCGGGTGTTTGTACTGTATTAATGATTCATGTTTTAATTCCATCCTATCACGGTCCGGGAGCTGCACCCATAACTCTGTGACCTTGCTTTACGAGCTCTCACACTGCCCCCCCCGACTCCCTGCATCGGAAGCAGGCGATGGGGGTAGTGTACTACAACCAGTTCTTTGTTTATCTCTGCATCCATGCACACAGATACCTGCTGTTACTCCTGACAGCCAGTGCTGGTATGTCTGCATATATGAAGGTTCTTCTTTACATTTTGCTAAATGATTTACAACAGGTGCAACTCACAATTAGACGTCAAATTATCTTTTAAACTAATCTATTAATTGTTCAGCTGATTAAATGTTTGCATGTTTAATATGATATAAGACAAAGAGAAAAGCTAGCTGCTGGAATTTGGGAATATTTTAGCGTTTTTCTTTACTACATTGCTTAACAGTTAATTTTCTTTTTCTTTCATTTGATTATTTAACTGATAGTTGTAACACATTGTTTCTTGATTCCTCTCCTTTGTCCTTTACTTCAAAGCAGCGTGTTAAAACATGTAGTTTGGCATAAATTATTCCTCACCTCTACTGCTATTGTATACCACCAAAAAAAAAAAAAAAAAGAATGTTACAGAATTTAACCTGCCTTTTTCTATCTTGTTATCTCTCTTTACTCATTTTGTGGTGAAGTGTTTGGTTTTTTATTTCCGAGGGCTGCACTACTCGGGGTGTAAACACACTCAAAGTTTCCCTCATTCAAAATGCATTGTGCTCTTGACAGGTGCTTGGATGGAGTGGGTTTGTAGAGGCTGACATACTTATTTCTTTATTCACTCTCCTTCATTTCTCCACCTTTTTCTCACCCATTCTGGCTGTCGTTCTACGTGGTGGGATGGGGGGGAAGGAGGGTGTGATGAAAGGTGATAATGCAAGTTGGGTGGAAGATATTGACTTCTCTTTTCTCCCGTTTTGTTCCATGCGCCCTTTCTCATGCTGCTGTTTTAATGGAGTTTCTTTCTCGGCCATCATTTCTGATCCATCTCGTCTTCGCCTGTACTCCTCTTCCTTTACGATTTCCCTTCCCCTCGCTCTACCTACGTACACTTATCGTTTTTCTTGTTCTTTCTCAGATCCCGGTGCAGTGGTAGAGACTCACAGTGCAGTACCTTACGCAGTGATAGGCGGCGTTCTGGCACTGCTGGTTTTCACCGTCATCTGCGTACTCATCGTCACCATCTGGTGCTCCGTCCGACAGAAAGGTAACACACACACACACAGAGGCGTTCTCGAATGCACACTTCAAATAACACAAAAGTTTCTTTTTGCAAGCAGGAGGCACATTTTGTAATTAGGGCATTTTATCACATTTTCCACAGGCACGTTTTCTCATTTCTACACTCTCTGGCATAACACGCTGTGAAAAAAATCAATGGAGGCCAGTTACACCCAGATTCTTTAAAAATAATCTTTTCAGCTAAGGTGTAAAATTGTCAGTAGATAGCAGGCGGGATAGGATGCTCCTCTCTGGCCAGGCACTGTCCGTGATAAATGACCTTGGCCAGGAGAGTGGAAGAGTAAGGGTAGGGTGGGAAATGTAGGTGTGGTCCCAGTGTTTTATGACTACATGTTAGTGTATCAAGGCTCATCTATTAAAAGCAGCCTCCCTGCGTTTCCTATCTTTTTAAGTGCCCCCCTATTGGCAGCCTTACACCATGCACTACGGCTGCCAATAAATGATCTGGGAATTGTGTAGCACGCCTCAGCCAGGATAACTTTACCCTATGGCTAGAAAAGCCGTCAGTCAACATTCAGCGTGGCATGACCGCCAATCAGCTCAGAGACAGGACCATTACAGCCAATCAGTGCCGAGCCGGGGCCATTAGGGCTTTGTCTTTGGCCCATCGTGACTGTCAGCAATGCCACTCAGCCTCCGTTGTAGGGAGAATGAGAGTGTCACTCACCTCTGGAGTGGAGGGGGACACTACAGCAGGAAGACGACTTGAGCGGTTCTTGCTCTCTATAACCTGCTCTGAGCAGAATCATTAATCATTTGGAACCCTAGGGGTGGTAATATGAGTTTGATGGGATTTCTGAGTGACACAAACGTGCCGTTGTTCTCTTGCGCCTAACAGTCCCTCCACCCTTTTCTGCCAATCTCTCCTCCCTCCCTGTTTTTATTCTCTATTATCTTCTATTGCCCTTCTTCTTCCTCCTCCTCCTCCTCCTCCTCCTCCTATGACTCTTCTATTCACGCATCCATGTCCAACCTCTAATTTCCGCTGGTAGGCTCGTACCGTACACGAGAGCCTATTCTTGCCTGGTATTGACCTAACAATCAGTTCACTAATGAATTAATCAGTCATAGGTAAGGTACTCAATAATATTACTGCTGATTACGTTTGACAATGCTGCATGGCGCTGCAATGATCATGACGCTTTGCCGCCTAACCTTCCCCCTACAATGTCCCTCCTCTTTTCTCTCTCTCTCTCTCTCTCTCTCTCTGCCCCTTGCTGTCTTTCTCTTTCTTTTCATTCAGGTTCCTACCTTACCCATGAGGCCAGTGGGTTGGATGAACACGGCGAGGTGCAGGAGGCCTTCCTCAACGGGAACGACGCCAGCCAGGGCAAGAAGGAGTACCTACTGTAGCCCTTCTCCTTCCCTATTCCCTTCTCTTCTGACCTCATACCCTTACCCTTTCCTCTCCCTGTTTCCCACCTTATATACAGTATACACACACAAACACACACACACACACACACAGACACTTCTATACAATGCGCCATAACAGGCGGCCTTCTGAAAACGACTGTAAACAGATACTGCACACAGCCAATCCATCCCGCTCTATTCCACTCCATATCCTCCATGCGCGCATTCACATAAACCAAGAGACAGACGGAGAAAATGAGAGCCTCTACACCCACCAGCCATTAACGACTGTGCCATATACTGTAAGTCGGAGAAACTCGGGAAAATAGAGAGGGCGACTGTAGGAGGGGTGGGGGGAGGAAGAGGGACAGAGTGAGGTGAATGTAGACAAAAACGAAATGATGCCATAATTATTTTGATCGAGAGGGAAGCAGGGAGCACAAAGAGAACCGGCACTCTGACTGTGCAGCTGCCAAAGTGGAAGGGGAATTAGAGGCAGATGACTGCTATAATTCCCTGCCTGGAGAATAGAAGAATCCATTTCACAAAGCTCTATCTTTAACTGACGGAGACAGTGGGAGCCGCGTGTGAGGAGGGAGGGTGGACAAAAGAGAGAGGAAGAGTTGACCAGGAGCTATTGAGTGCTAGAAAATTGAAATTTTTCAAATTACCAAAACATCTTGCCTGCAGAGCGCAACTCATATATAATTCCCTAACAACACTGGAGTGTGTAAGGCCAGAGTTACAAGAAGTATCCATACTTTATGAACAAGCAAACTGTCCTGTTTTTCTATCCCCCTTTGAGTGGCCTGGCAATTTGTAAAAGGAAAAAAAAAAAAAATCTACTTTTAGGGATTTTTCACCCTCTCACTGCAACAGTGAAGGAAAGGTTGTTCGTTTTTCTTTAAAAAAAAGAAAGAAAGAAAAAAAAAACTCTCCACATCCTGCTTCCTCTCTGTTCACCTGTTACCATCCTCTCCCCTCTCTCTTATATCTCTCTTTCTCTTCTGTCTGTCCCCCTCTATCACTCGTCCTTTGTTGGCTCCTAATAATGAAAGGATTAGTGTTGGGCTGCGTTCCCGAGAAAGAAGAAAGGAATATGACTTGCTAAGGCATTAAAGAAAAGCTTAATTATTTTAGAATGTCATTAAGAGGATAAAAAGGTTTAAAAGTCTTAATAAGAAGGGCAAGGGGAGCGATAGCAAAAGGAAGGAATGAGAGAATTAAATGGATGGATATTTTTTTTTTCTGAATGCTACCACACATATGAAAATACATGCACACATTCATACGTACAGTAAACACGTTGACAGAACAAGTATACATATCTCTGAATTCCTTGTTTGTATAAAAAAAAAGAAAAAAAGAACAGCAACATAAATTAAATTAAACTTTTAAGAAATAAGAACAGTTTACTATTGAAACGCATTATGAAGCAACTATACTAACACAGAATATTAGCCTATAGAGGTGCAAAGCCGAACAAACTACTGTCCAGTGATCTTTAAAGAAAATAAAGAAAAGGATAAAAAAAATAAAAAATCATTTGTCTTTATGAGAAACCAGAGGTCTTATTGATTTTTTTATTAATTATTATTATTATTATTTGAACAATTATGATTGTTGTTACTGTTATTATTATTGACGTTGTTATTATTATAATTGTAAATGTTAAAGAAATGTACACTTCCCATGGTTTGTTTTTGGTTCTACTGTAGAAAAATTGCTGTCCTTTTTCACTCTTTTCCTCTTTACCTTTCCTCTCTTTCCCAGTCTTTCTCTCTCTTTGTCTCCTGTGCCTAGTCGTCTCTTCTCCTGTCTTTCACTCTTGTTTATTTTAGAATCCATGTGTCACTGTTGATATATAGCTAACTATTTCTTTATAGGGGAAAAGATACAAAGCACGACAAAATAAAAAAAGAATCCAAAAATAACCTTGGGGATCAGACTGGTTTTTTTGGATATGTTTACTGTGTAATTAGCAGGTGCTGTTTTTGAAATCCTGTGAAAAGAGAACAGGAGATGGAGCACATGATTAGATCAATGGGGAATAGTGGAGTTATAGGTGGGAAGATAAAGATGAAGGCGGCGGAGCGGTTATAACTGGCAGCTCATTCAGAATAAACAGAATAAACAAAACAGAAGGTTCTGTGGCAGGGCTAATGAATCATAAGAACAGATAGCGGCGAAGAAAAGGGTGACAGGTGGGTTGAGTCAGATGCACACAGAAAAATATGACTCTGCCATTAACTTCCTCACAATCAATACCCGATTCTGTCGAGAAGCACTCAACATGTCCATCTGTGTGCGGGGCTAGATTTGAAAGCCGCTGGAGGTCGCAGGGTGATAGATCGATGTGTTTCTCTTCCATCGATGGCAAGGCTCCACGGTCGCCTGTCATAAAGACAGATTGTCAAACGGCAATCAAAGTAATGGACTTGCCAGGCGCTACCAGCATGAGTTGACACTCTGGCCGGCAAACAATTCAGTCGGCACCAGACATATCTTCAGTTTACGATGACGCAAAAGTAGCAGGGGTAGGTCCTGCCATAAGAGCCGCTGTGGCCGTCGAGCAATAACACTGAGAATATTGTTCCTTTATATGTGTTCAGAACAGAAGTGTATGTCCTTCAATCAAAGGTTCCATCTCTTTGTTTTGATGTGGAATTCACAGCACTGAGAAAAAAAAAGTTAACCTTTTATTTCAGGCATTTTATTTTTTTCAATATTAAATGATAACAATCACATTAACATTGACGGAATTTACTGTTGGCAGGTTACTAATGCTGTTTTGTTTGCTCTGGTGAATCCTGTTAAACCAGCCTGACCATGCTAATGACAGGGTTCAACCACAAGCCCACGATAAGCAGACCACCGCTGTGATCACAGAGGGTAATTATCTAATCAATAAACATGGGGAAAAAAATGAGATAGGGACAAGCCAGACAACAGTTGGTCATATTCATCTCTGAGTTTATGTCATGCAGTGAATGTACCATAATCCTGCAAGTAATGGCAGCGAGAAGTCTATGAATAACTCGCATAGCTTTTCCCTAATGCTGCTTTCAGATTGATGTCCTGGAACGGGTTCACATCAGAAAATTTCCTATTTATGACCAATTTATGACATTCATATTTCATCTCTACGAGTTGCAGTAAATATCACAATCTGGCCAAACACAAACTCTTTTATTTTTCTGGCTGCAGTATACTGGATTATACATTTATGTATATGTTGTTTTTTTTTTTCTTCCATCTTTAAATCCAACCCTAGAGGTGAACACAGTTAATGATCTTTGGTCTTGGCAGTATGACCCTAGCGTGGCAAAGAGGTGTGTACAAAGTGACAGTATAGCATGAGACATTGATTGAAGTGGCTGAGTGTGTCTAGGCCTAGCATAATCAGGAAGCAGAGAGCTTTCAGGCAGACAGAACAATTGAATGGGCAGCCACGCCAGGGAAGCTGGGGAAATCTTTTTTTTTTTTTTCCCCACCTCTTTTACAAGATTTCTTTTTCGATAATGTGTTCCGGTCTTTCTTGTAGTGACAGAAAACATTCTATCGTCCGTGTATTTTTCAAGTACATGAAGATGAGATGTAAAGCAGGGAAAGATTTTCTTATGCGAGAAAATGAAGTAGAAATAGGCGACTGGAAAATGATCCAACTTACAAAAACGGCAGACGACAAACAAAAAAAAAAGAAGAGAAAGGGCATGTTGAATGTCATGACAATGTTCTACCAGGAGATTGATTTCTACTTTTTTCTTCATCAGTGATTGCTTAACACCAACATGGTTCAAGATGAGCAATCCAATTAGCATGAGCGAGATCCTTTTTTTATTACGAGAGAGCATAACATTGTATTTACACGTTTAATCAAAACAACCTTGAATATTGTGTCATAATCAAGTTAATTATGTTTTCCCTACAATGCCACGTCCTCTTTGGACCACTATGTTATTGCTGAATGTTTAATTAAACGCTGTCACTCATACATTTACATTGCTGGTGGTTAGCTTAGTAGAGATTTAAAACAGGCTTAGAGTAAGACCCACAGGAGGAGCAGTCAAAGAAAACAGACATCTGTGATCAGGATAGTAGTTATCGTCTGGAGGCTTAATTTTCTCGCTGACATTTGGTGTGGGACCTGATAATTAACTGGCCTTTTCATTTGCAAGTTATTCACAACATGTGTATGAGGTTGCTGATTAGTTTAAAAGCCAACAACAAACAGGAATATGCTGTATTAATTTAGTCCACAAGTCATTTATTTCAAACACTAGCTGTTTCCTATGCCCAGAAAATATGGAGGGAACTTTGTTCTAGGATGATTATTTAGTTTCTGAATTTTTTTTTTACATTAAAAGCAACAGCCCAGATCTTCCACTTCGTAAAAAATCAGACTTCTGGGAACACTTTAGCTTTAAGGGAGTGTTTGGCTGAAGCCCACGGAGCTGCCTGCACTGCCTCACACAGTGCCGTTCGGACAGATTTTCCTCTGGACCAGGCTAGTCCAGGTGGAAGGTTGAGAACAGCGGTGGGAAAGGAGGCCCCTAGTTCCCCTACTGTTTTCCTAGGAGGAGTAAAGAGGATCTGGGGCACAAGATTGTACAACTGCAAGAGAAAAAAGGCAACTGCATGAGTCCAGGCAGGGAGATGGGTCATGGGGGTGAAAAGCATGAGAGCGTGAATGATGTGGTGTGGCAAGCACAGCAGAACTAGAAAAGAGAGGGACAGGGCCAGAGAACGGACCAGGTGGGAGTCATGTTTTGGGATGTCCGCATGACTAAAAGTAGTCTTTCTTGGCTTCATGCATATCAGGTTGAGGTAAATGGCCAGTAGGAGCAGCAAGGGAAGCATGAACGATGTCAGTCCATGAACGTAGACTTGGAACTCGGGAGTCAGAAGAGTGTCAGTAGCGCACACCCCCCAGTGGGTGCTGTGAATCTCAGCGTAGGTGAAATTGTGCATGTCCTCCACATAAAACTTTGACAAGAAGCCTCCATACGGAAGAAACCTCCCGATGACTTTGCGGTCGTCATTGTACTTGGAGGGTGGGGAAGGGGTAAGATGGGGCAAAGAGGTTGTCCCGTTGTCCAGGCCGAGGTCAATTGTTCCGCTGCTGCTCCAGGTGTCGAGGACATCTGAGCCGATGAACTGGGCGAAGGAGGACAGAACGGAGGCCACCCAGCACAGCAGGACCGCACACAGAGCTCGCTTGCGGGTCACCAGTGTGGAGTATCTGGCATCCAAAGACATGTTGATTTGCATGGAGTTAATACTAAGATTGCACTTTAGTTCTTTAAGCTCAATAATAAAACAACAAAACATGTGACTAGCACATTGCCTTAACGCCCATCTATCACTAATTGTAAACATACAAAACAGATCACTGTCAGGAAAGGACGTTTTCATTCCAGAGTTAACGTCTGACTTCTGGAAGACTGCTGTCCTAACAGATGTGCGATTTAATAAATGGGATCAAGCTCCTAAATTGGCTGCTGGCAGTTGTTTTAACTGGTAAAGGGCACGAAAGAAATCTAGCTTGGACTTCAACCAACTGGTTAACTGGTTGGGGCGCCTAAAACCTAATTAAAAAGATATAATTCTGACTCTCTTGGAGTGAAAGGTTGAATTTGCCGGCCACTGTCAATCAAACATCTGAGTGCTTTGGAGCCCATTGATATTTACTCACTGCCTCTCAGATGGCAGCATAAACAGCGTGTGATAAAACAACCTCACGAGCACTGAAAAAACAGCTTGTTTTGATAGAGCAGTATAATATACAATGGTGCATCTGGACGTGCTTTTTTTTTCTTTCTTTCTTTTAGACGTATATTGATTTTCTTCCTTTATTGCTGAAAGCACACTTGAGAGTGTTGGTTGACTCTTACCGCCCACATCGTCGCCCTTTCCCACGCACATACAAGAAAATGTTAGCGTTGTATGTAAATGTGACGCTTAATTCAATTTTGAAAAAAAATATGTTATATAAGATATCTAATTGGAATTTTTACCATATTAATGATCATGACTATTTACTTTAAATCGCACTGAAGATTTGTCTATTTGCTCCTTTGCTGGTTAACGTGACTCTTCTTGACTTACCTGTCTGGCAAACGGTGATGAAGGAATTCATCCAGTGTAACTACCATTAATAGGAACATGGTAAACTGTCTCACCAACAAGGGGCAACACACAATGGTTATGCAGGTGTACAGACACTGGGCGGTTCGCAGGTTGAGTAACACAGTCACAGGGATCCCCACTGCACCTCCTACAGCCCCCACCAAGCCCAGGCACAGCCGAAGACAGCATGAGACGCTCCCGGGTTGAGGTCTGGCAACCTGGGTTTCATCTTGGTCACTGGTTAGACAACTCCAGCCACTAACCGCCATGTACAACCTCACGCTCACGACAATTAACGACACAGAGAGAGCGCAGTGGCACAGGGTGTCCAGCCACATGACTTCCATGTCTGGGTGAGATTTTTTAAAAAAAAGAGACAAAGAGATTTATAAGATTATGTTTGAATAGGATTTTAAAATTCACTACTTATACTGATGAGCGAAACACATTGCTGGTACTTGACACCTCTGCCCATATGTTTCAAGACTGCCCCTACAGCATTTAATCGCATTATCAAAAAGGAACGGCAAAACACCGAGGAAAAAAAAAAACAAAGAATACAGGGAATGTAAATGAGGAAAGAGTGACAAAGGGTGGAAAAAATTTTGAGGTTAAGTATGGGGGTGTAGGTCAGAATACTTAAAACAGTCAGCGAGAGAGTAAGAACGTACAGTTTGCAGAAGGATTGAGAATGTGATGCAAGTTTGTGCTAGGGGCAGAGAGATGGGCAGAGAGAGAGAGAGTAGATATTTTGATAGGTATTGGAGAGCTGTAAACGTGCCTGGAGAGTGAAAAGGTCAGGCCA